TATCGCCGGGAGGGGAGGATTGAGGGGAGGATTGCCAACCGTTCAGCGATTGTTTCATTTCCAGCCGATATTTAATGATAATAGCGTTGCCGGCGTACGGCTCCAGCCATGACAATAGGGCCGTACGGCTAGTGATCTCGTTTACCATCACGTTTTCCGGTATATCCGGCGCCTCTGTATTTTGTAAAGGCAATCAATTACAAACAATTAATTTACATGTATATAATTACCATGTTTTCTATAAATTATTTTACGATATAATATTGTCTTAATGTAACAAACAATTACATTTCACTTATAAATTGCTAACTAAATACCCTATTCATTTTTATTTATGCGTGTAATTAACAATATGATTGCTAATTAATGATACAATATATAATAATTTACTTAATATCTATATAATATTTGGGAAAATACGGAATATTTTTGCGGTAAAATTCTTAGTAAATCATAACAAAATAAGCTGTAATATTAATTACAAATATCTGTTATCATACTATTGTTTGAATGTGTGTTATATTTATGGAAAACTATAAAATAAATTTGTTTTTGTTCATTAATCTGCATCTACTATTTTAAACCATTAAATGATGCAGCACATTTTCATACCTATCAATGCGGTCGTAGGGTTAAACAAATGCAATTACATTATAAATAGTGTAAAAGGGCGTGTAACTTTTTGTCTTAAATTTTAGCATGTTAACAAAATAAAATTTTGTAATAATTAAAAATGTAATTTACAATTGCAAAATAAACAGACTTTAGTAACATTTTATCAAAAATATTTAGACAGTAAAAATTCGTAAATATTATAGTACAAAATAAAATATATTTATTCTAAAAATTTTACGTAAACTTCAATAATAGAAACTGTAATTAAATTCATTGATTGTTAATTTATTATGTTTTAACTTATTGAATAAAATATTATGGAACTGACAAACGAAAAAGTTTTTAATTTAATTTAATTGATAGTAATTAATTGTTTAATATCATTGTTAAATTAATGATAATTATAAGAATTCAATCAAATTTATTATTTTAATTTATAGTACCAATCCACCTAGATTACTAATTAGCAAAATATATAATCAACACTAACCTTGCACAATTAGTTGATGATTAAACTCATCACGGCCATATTTATTACTAGCTATACAGGTGTAGAGAGCGCTGTCCCGACGGGTAGTGTCGAGTATATGTATCCTCAGCCACACGTCGGCCACACCCGACGTCTCGTTACGGATCACTTGATACCGGTTTTCGACGCCGGCGTCAAACGGCTGGCCATCTCTGGTTAGGGCGACGGCTATCGGCCGCTCGCCATATGATAGGCACTCAATCCACACGTCCTGTCCTTTAGTGACGGTTTGCGAACCAAATTTGCTCTTAAAATGGGCCCCAACTGTATGGGCCCAAAATGGGTGTAAAACAATTATTGATCATTAATTTTTGTAATTTAATTTTAATTAACATTATGTATTTTGCAAATGAATTATAATTCTTGTTTATACAATTTCATTTATTTGTATTATAAAAGTTAATAAATCCTTATATAGCCAACCAACCACATGTAACATGTGCAGCTAATTTATCTAGAGCATAATATCAAATTAATAATGATTACAGTTTTACCCAAATGGGTTTCTCATCAACTTTTTCATTAATTTTTACATTTTAAAAGAAACATTTTTAATAAAATATTTTTAAATATAATTTTTATTCTGATAAATTGTTTTAAAAGTACCTTGATAGTATATTTCTTAAAATATAATAAATACGATATAGGTTAGGTTAACGTACGACAGGATAGATAGTAGAAATAATGCAAAATAGTATTGTTAGGCACAATCCATATTTATTAACTTCCAAATTACTTATTTAATGTATCTTGATTCTATATTGATTATTACAGTTTTTGTGGTAAATCAATTTTACGTCATTATATTGATACATTAAATAGCAATTAAATAGCTTGTACCTTTTAAAAATCATTAATTATTTTTTCCAATAGAAATACTTAATCATTAATTTTTTAAAAAAATTTAAATGTCATTACTATAAGCAGCGAAAAATATATAGTGAATTGTTATCAAAATCAAGTGCATATAAAAATGACAATTATAAGAAATAAAAATGTTATAATTATTTATGTACCTTATCTTTACTTCCATATTCCATTAATATATAAGTACAAAAATATTCAACTAATAAATAGTACTATACTATTAAACATTACAGTTTTATTTTCACACGATTTAAATAGTTGAGTGTAAAACAAATATTGATAACTAATATTTATGATTAAATTTTAATTAAAATTAATTATTATATTATGGCTATATTTTAAAAATGATAATTTTTGTTTATATTTTATATAATTATTATTTAGGTTAATTAAATCCTTTTATAGCCTCAAAACCATATAAAAAATATGCAGCTAATTTAACTAATGTATAATATCAGATTAATAATTTTTACAGTTTTAATTGGAATTAAATTTTAAATACTAATAATTTTTATGTGTGTTGTAAATAAGTTTCTCATTAGATTTTAAATCAATTTTTACATTTTAATAGAAATATTTTTAATAATATTTTCTATAATTAAGATCTTAATTAAGATTTAGATTATTTTATTTTTGATAAATTGTTTAAAATGCACCTTGATAGTGTATTTCTTAAAATTTAATTAACACGGTGAATCGTGCATTTGGGCTGACGTACGACAGGATAGATAGTATGTATGATATAGATAGTATGATTATGCAAAATAGTATTAGTGTATACAGTATTATAAAACACTTTATATTTAATCCATATTTATATATTTATAAATTACTTATTTAATGCCTCTTGATTATATATTTATTATTACAGTTTTTGTGGTAAATCAATTTTACGTCATTATATTAATACATTAAATAGCAATTAAATAGCCTGTACACTTTAAAGATCATTAATTATTTTTATCAATAGAATTACTTAATTATTGATTATTCAAAAATTTTAATGTCATTATTATAAGCAGTGAAAATTGTATTGTAACGTGTTATTAAAATTATCAAAAGCATTTTAAAATAGCAATTATGATAAACAAAAATGCTATAATTATTTATGTACCATATATTTTTCTTTTCATCTGCAACCCATCAATATACATGGTTAAAAATATTCAACTAATAAATAATTCAGTACTATTACACATTACAGTTTTATTTTCATGTGATTTAAATAAACATACAAGTATATGTATTTACGTAAATAAATGTACTGTACATACCGTGCACTTTGAGCTGGACCAATTTACTCAGACCACTACCCACACCATTATTAGCCTGACACAAGTAGACACCCTCGTCATCCGGGGTAACATCATTGATAGTCAAACTGCCATTTTCCATGGTGTGCATATGCGAATTTGAAATGACCGTGCGCAAATGTCCGTCGGCCAGTTCCGATCGCTCCCACCAGACCCTACTCTGACCGCTGGCCACACAATTCATGACCACTTTCTGGCCGACAATGGCCTCCGTATCCATCGGACTAATCACCCATTTAGGCGGCACTGTATGGTTAAAATTGTTTGAATTAAGTTAGCTTGGTGGTTTTCATAAAGTCATATTATTGTATGACTAATGTAATAGGTTTGGTATGAATTAATGTGTATATTTTAATTAAAGACAAATTCTTAAATTCTTTATATACATGTAATAATGTCTCAAACATTATGTTAATATTTAAATTAGCTGCTAGTTGTTTATGTTAAATAATTTTTGCATGGTGATATAAAAATTGATTAATATTGCCTATTTAATTTATTGCAAATATTTTGTACCATTCAATTATCGTATATATGATCCACAAAACGGCTAATCTATTAGTCAATAAACTAGTGGTAACTATAGATACAAATAAGATATTTTTTGTTGTGATTATTTTATTAGACTCGCTATACTTATAGATTATATACTTATAGTTATTGAACACTAACAGCACGTTTGCGACCATCTGTACCGTTAATGGCATATATTTATTAAATCAATAGTTTGCGATCAAAACTTTTTTGGGACACAATTACTATCTGTTTGTCACTGAAAATAATATAATAGCTTTTGAAGTGATAGTAATGTTGAGTGAATGTGAGTGAGAGAGAGAGAGAGAGAGAGAGAGAGAGAGACTACTTTATCATTAATCCAAAATAAATAATAATTAGTTGTGACAAATAACTAATATAATTTGAGATATTATAGATTTTTATATTAAAATTCCATGTTCCTTAACTCATACCTATCACTAATACAAATACATTGTTAAATTAATTTAATTAGAATTATTACTTAAACTATATATAAGTAGGTCAATAATTAGCAAAATGTTAATAATAAATTATAATAAATACTGTATAATTAAATAATAACTCAATTTTAAATACCAATGTTTTATATATATTAATAATATTAGTCTGTCATGATCTATCAAAATACAATTTTGAAGCTGTAAATTTCAGCAATCATATTGCCAAGACATAGTACCTTGTACAATTACATAAATAAAACTAGCATAAATATTATCCATCAGATTTCAAAGGCGGTCATTTTCCTTCCCATAAATTAATATTTAGTAAATTTTTCAATTATCTAAAACGGCATATTATTCACAATTACAGTTTGATAAGCGCACACGCTTTAATTACATCACAAACATGAACACACAGAAAATCACGACACACTACCTTGAACATTTAAATACGTGGAGTATGACGTGTTGGCCACTCTATTGGACGCGACGCACGTGTAGTTACCGGAGTCATCGGCCGTCACGTTGGATATGAACAGGGATTTTGAAAACACATCGTTTGCCGTTACCTTCACTTCATGTCTACCCCCTGTATGGTCGGCACCGGGAGGGGTCGGGCGGACGGGCACATCATCCTTGAGAAACTGGATGCTGAGGGGGGCGTCGCCGTCGACCACAGCACACGTCAACATCTGTCGCATACCTTCCCGGAGGTTAGGGGAGGCGTGAAAGGGGTTGATTACGGGGGCCACCAATACCTCTATGTAGACATTGCCGTGAGCTGTCAACCCCACACTCCCTGAACCGCCTGACGACCCGTTCACTACACACCTATACCAGCGCTCGTCCGTACGGCTCTCTATCGACTCGATGATGAGTGTGCCGTTGGTTAGGGCTCTTTGCCGGTGATTCTGGGGTAGTTTTGTCCATTGGTTACTACCGGAGCCGATGAACCACTGTATGGACTGTATTGGGTGGCCGTTGGCCGGGCAGTCGACCCGTACCGCATGACCAGCAACGGCGGTAATGTTGTGGGCAAAGGGCCGCACGAATACCGGGCCCAACACTACCACACGATTGTGGTGTACGGCTGTGTTCATGCCGTTCAGCGCCAAACACTTATACCTGCATTGAAATAATATATAAATAGTTTAGTACAGGGTGTGTCACACATTCAGCAGGCCGTAAACGCCTCTACACTCACAGTCCGCCGTCCTCTACCCGGACGTTAGAGATGTTGACGTATGAGTTGACTATACCATCGCTGGACACGTAGTCCCCTATACGGAGGCGCCAGTTGTCGGACACCGGCTGCCCGTCAACTGTCCACACGATCTGCGGTAGGGGTAGACCAGTAGCCGAGCACTTGAGCGATAGGGACTGACCCGGACTGAGCGGTTCCAGGGGTGTGAAGGTGTGGGTGAAGTGCGGGCCGTCCCATACGAGGCTCACTTCGGCCGATGCGGTACTGCTTTCCCATTCGTTGCTTGCAATACATTGCTATGCGTTTAAAAAAAATTAATCAATATTTCAATAAAATATTATAATTATTAAAAATATAATAGATTGTACCAGTTAATAAATATATATCAAACTCAACTAATAAATTATCGTAAAGTATTTATAATTACAGTTTATTCAATAACGAGCTAACCCTCATAATTATATGTCAATCTAAACACATGTCGTTGACTACAAAATGTTTACTGATTTATTTAAAAAAAAATAGACTTGATCCTCTGCGTTTTATAAGCCATATACAATTATTTTTAAATTTTTTATTTAATGCTTCTAGTTATAATAATTAAAATTACAGTTTGTGAGTAATCAGTTTTCCATTATTTTCCATCTAACACGTAATAATATTTAAATAATTTTGACCAAGAATAAGTAATCAACAAATTTTTCTGTGTATTACAAAAGTTAAATTGATAAATAAAAGTTTTTGATCGCAATTAAAATTAATAAAATTAAATATTATGCTTAACATAGATCATCTGAGTTAATACCAATTATTGATACTGGTGACTAGGCACAAAAAATCATTAATAATATATTATTTATTATTACAGTTTTAATTGAATAAAAGTTTTAATTTTGTAAATAACACACATGAATATAAGTTACATTGGCAACTTCCAAATTAATGGGCTTAAATTATTGTTGATACAGGTCAAATTAATGAAAACTTATAAATGAAATGTCTATTTATGTAATTTTTATAATAATTTTGTGTGTGTATTATTTTGTGCATAAGTTAAAAACTTATTGCTATAACAATTGTGTTAAAATTTCTATTATTTTTATTACATTAGAGAGAGAGAG